GATTTGCTACAGGTTGCATGTCCTGGTATGCCAGCTCCTTCGCAAAGATTTGTGCGGCCGGCACGACAATTGCGCACTGCAGCTCGGCGGATTGCGAATGGCGACGTAGATACAGACAAGAACGAATGTGGCCCAATTTTCCAAAATCTGTATGATTTGCACCATGCTATCGATGAAGAATACTATCTTCGTAAACAAGAGTTTGTTGTGAGGTCATGGCGTGGAGCGGGTATGATATCTCCTCGGTTTCGATGTTTGGTAAATCATATTATTTCGCAGTGAATATTAGGAGCCCGCTTTTCGCACTGGCAAGCTTTTCATACCCCCACAGGCTACGCGGCTACTAACAACCCGCTTGAGCAGTACCACTACACCTTAAAGCTTGTGAATGACAGCAAACGGGCTAGCCCGGCAGAGCTTGTAGTCCGCCTGGATTTGTCACGAGTTTCGTTTATCTCCTCGATGCAACCCTTTTGCGATCAGCCTACTGTATCCAAACGTTTACTGGCTACTCACAGGAGGATTAATTAAAAGGTCATGACTGCAGAATTGATTCACCGATACAACAATTTAGTTTTGGTTCGTGTCGCACCATCTCCGCTTCCCACGAGTTCATCACAAGAACCAGGAGAATTTGTCCACCCTACTGCTGCAAAAGTAAAAAAGACGAGGCCATACACTATGCTAGAATAAGCTGGGTCAACATGCCCGTCGGTGGATGGATTGTTGATGCTACTGCACGCACGTGTTTATGTCTGTGCTATAAGAAAGTTGGGATATGCCTACACGTTGTTAAGGCAACCGGATTTGCTGGAGTTGCATGTCCTGGTATGCCAGCTCCTTCACAAAGATTTGTGCGGCCGGCACAACAATCGCGCACTGCAGCTCGGCGGATTGCGAATGGCGACGTAGATACAGACAAGAACGAAGTTGGCCCAATTTTCCGGAATCTGTATGATTTGCACCATGCTATCGATGAAGAGCACTATCTTTGTAAACGAGATTTTGTTGTGAGGTCATGGCGTGGAGCGGGTATGATATCTCCTCGGTTTCGACGTGTGGCAAATCACATTATTTCGCAGTGGATAATTAAAGCCCGCTTTTCGCACTGGCAAGCTTTTCATACCCCCACAGGCTACGCGGCTACTAACAACCCGCTTGAGCAGTACCACTACACCTTAAAGCTTGTGAATGACAGCAAACGGGCTAGCCCGACAGAGCTTGTAGTCCGCCTGGATTTGTCACGAATTTCGTTTATCTCCTCGATGCAACCCTTTTGCGATCAGCCTACTGTATCCAAACGTTTACTGGCTACTCACAGGAGGATTAATTAAAAGGTCATGACTGCAGAATTGATTCACCGATACGACAATTTAGTTTGGTTCGTGTCGCACCATCTCGCTTCCCACGAGTCATCACAGACCAGGAGATTTGTCCACCCTACTGCTGCAAAGTAAAAAGACGAGGCATAAACTACGCTAGAATAAGCTGGGTCAACATGCCCGTCGGTGAATAGATTGTTGAAGCTACTGCACGCACGTGTTTATGTCTGTGCTATAAGAAAGTTGGGATATGCCTACACGTTGTTAAGGCAACCGGATTTGCTGGAGTTGCATGTCCTGGTATGCCAGCTCCTTCACAAAGATTTGTGCGGCCGGCACAACAATCGCGCAATGCAGCTCGGCGGATTGCGAATGGCGACGTAGATACAGACAAGAACGAAGTTGGCCCACATTTTCCGGAATCTGTATGATTATGCACCATGCTATCGATATAGAGCACTTTCTTTGTAAACGAGATTTTGTTGTGAGGTCATGGCGTGGAGCGGGTATGCTATCTCTCTCCGGTTCCGACGTGGGGCAAATCACATTATTTCGCAGTGGATATTTAAAGCCCGCTTTTCGCACTGGTAAGCTTTTCATACCCCCACAGGCTACGCGGCTACTAACAATCCGCTTGAGCAGTACCACTACACCTTAAAGCTTGTGAATGACAGCAAACGGGCTAGCCAGGCAGAGCTTGTAGTCCGCCTGGAATTTGTCACGAATTTCGTTTATCTCCTCGATGCAACCCTTTTGCGATCAGCCTACTGTATCCAAACGTTTACTGGCTACTCACAGGAGGATTAATTAAAAGGTCATGACTGCAGAATTGATTCACCGATACAACAATTTAGTTTTGGTTCGTGTCGCACCATCTCCGCTTCCCACGAGTTCATCACAAGAACCAGGAGAATTTGTCCACCCTACTGCTGCAAAAGTAAAAAAGACGAGGCCATAAACTACGCTAGAATAAGCTGGGTCAACATGCCCGTCGGTGAATAGATTGTTGAAGCTACTGCACGCACGTGTTTATGTCTGTGCTATAAGAAAGTTGGGATATGCCTACACGTTGTTAAGGCAACCGGATTTGCTGGAGTTGCATGTCCTGGTATGCCAGCTCCTTCACAAAGATTTGTGCGGCCGGCACAACAATCGCGCAATGCAGCTCGGCGGATTGCGAATGGCGACGTAGATACAGACAAGAACGAAGTTGGCCCACTTTTCCGGAATCTGTATGATTTGCACCATGCTATCGATGAAGAGCACTTTCTTTGTAAACGAGATTTTGTTGTGAGGTCATGGCGTGGAGCGGGGTATGATATCTCCTCGGGTTTCGACGTGTGGCAAATCACATTATTTCGCAGTGGATAATTAAAGCCCGCTTTTCGCACTGCAAGCTTTTCATACCCCCACAGGCTACGCGGCTACTAACAACCCGCTTGAGCAGTACCACTACACCTTAAAGCTTGTGAATGACAGCAAACGGGCTAGCCCGACAGAGCTTGTAGTCCGCCTGGATTTGTCACGAATTTCGTTTATCTCCTCGATGCAACCCTTTTGCGATCAGCCTACTGTATCCAAACGTTTACTGGCTACTCACAGGAGGATTAATTAAAAGGTCATGACTGCAGAATTGATTCACCGATACAACAATTTAGTTTTGGTTCGTGTCGCACCATCTCCGCTTCCCACGAGTTCATCACAAGAACCAGGAGAATTTGTCCACCCTACTGCTGCAAAAGTAAAAAAGACGAGGCCATAAACTACGCTAGAATAAGCTGGGTCAACATGCCCGTCGGTGAATAGATTGTTGAAGCTACTGCACGCACGTGTTTATGTCTGTGCTATAAGAAAGTTGGGATATGCCTACACGTTGTTAAGGCAACCGGATTTGCTGGAGTTGCATGTCCTGGTATGCCAGCTCCTTCACAAAGATTTGTGCGGCCGGCACAACAATCGCGCACTGCAGCTCGGCGGATTGCGAATGGCGACGTAGGATACAGACAAGAACGAAGTTGGCCCACTTTTTCGGAATCTGTATGATTTGCACCATGCTATCGATGAAGAGCACTATCTTTGTAAACGAGATTTTGTTGTGAGGTCATGGCGTGGAGCGGGTATGATATCTCCTCGGTTTCGACGTGTGGCAAATCATATTATTTCGCAGTGGATAATTAAAGCCCGCTTTTCGCACTGGCAAGCTTTTCATACCCCCACAGGCTACGCGGCTACTAACAACCCGCTTGAGCAGTACCACTACACCTTAAAGCTTGTGAATGACAGCAAACGGGCTAGCCCGGCAGAGCTTGTAGTCCGCCTGGATTTGTCACGAATTTCGTTTATCACCTCGATGCAACCCTTTTGCGATCAGCCTACTGTATCCAAACGTTTACTGGCTGCTCACAGGAGAATTAATTAAAAGATCATGACTGCAGAATTGATTCACCGATACAACAATTTAGTTTTGGTTCGTGTCGCACCATCTCCGCTTCCCACAAGTTCATCACAAGAACCAGGAGAATTGGTCCACCCTACTGCTGCAAATCCCAAAAAGACGAGGCCATAAACTATGCTAGAATAAGCTGGGTCAACATGCCCGTCGGTGGATGGATTGTTGATGCTACTGCACGCACGTGTTTATGTCTGTGCTATAAGAAAGTTGGGATATGCCTACACGTTATTAAGGCAACCGGATTTGCTGGGGTTGCATGTCCTGGCATGCCAGCTCCTTCACAAAGATTTGTGCGGCCGGCACAACAATCGCGCACTGCAGCTCGGCGGATTGCGAACGGCGACGTAGATACAGACAAGAACGAAGTTGGCCCCAATTTTTCGGAATCTGTATGATTTGCAGCATGCTATCGATGAAAGAGCACTTTCTTTGTAAACGAGATTTTGTTGTGAGGTCATGGCGTGGAGCGGGTATGATATCTCCTCGGTTTCGACGTGTGGCAAATCACATTATTTCGCAGTGAATAATTAAAGCCCGCTTTTCGCACTGGCAAGCTTTTCATACCCCCACAGGCTACGCGGCTACTAACAACCCGCTTGAGCAGTACCACTACACCTTAAAGCTTGTGAATGACAGCAAACGGGCTAGCCCGACAGAGCTTGTAGTCCGCCTGGATTTGTCACGAATTTCGTTTATCTCCTCGATGCAACCCTTTTGCGATCAGCCTACTGTATCCAAACGTTTACTGGCTACTCACAGGAGGATTAATTAAAAGGTCATGACTGCAGAATTGATTCACCGATACAACAATTTAGTTTTGGTTCGTGTCGCACCATCTCCGCTTCCCACGAGTTCATCACAAGAACCAGGAGAATTTGTCCACCCTACTGCTGCAAAAGTAAAAAAGACGAGGCCATAAACTACGCTAGAATAAGCTGGGTCAACATGCCCGTCGGTGGATGGATTGTTGATGCTACTGCACGCACGTGTTTATGTCTGTGCTATAAGAAAGTTGGGATATGCCTACACGTTGTTAAGGCAACCGGATTTGCAGGGGTTGCATGTCCTGGTATGCCAGCTCCTTCGCAAAGATTTGTGTGGCCGACACGACAATTGCGCACTGCAGCTCGGGGGATTGCGAATGGCGACGTAGATACAGACAAGAACGAAGGTGGCCCACTTTTCCGGAATCTGTATGATTTGCACCATGCTATCGATGAAGAGCACTATCTCTGTAAACAAGAGTTTGTTGTGAGGTCATGGCGTGGAGCGGGTATGATATCTCCTCGGTTTCGACGTGTGGCAAATCACATTATTCTGCAGTGGATAATTAAAGCCCGCTTTTCGCACTGGCAAGCTTTTCATACCCCTACAGGCTACGCGGCTACTAACAACCCGCTTAAGCAGTACCACTACACCTTAAAGCTTGTGAATGACAGCAAACGGGCTAGCCGGCAGAGCTTGTAGTCCGCCTGGATTTGTCACGAATTTCGTTTATCTCCTCAACGTTACAGTATTCAATCTAAACGAGGAGACTGTTTCCATTTCCGAAGCTTCGTGACAGGAAGTATCTGCTGCCCGGGTAGCGTAAAAAGCATCCTGCAAACAAAACCATCAGCCGAAAGGGCATGGAGTTGCTTGGAAAAAATAGCACTCTTACTTTATCAAACTGTTTCAGGAGCTTCTCGATTCGCTTGACGAATTCTTGGTAGGTGGTCGACACTTGAGAGAGCTGACGTGCCTTTTCCACGCAGCTCGGTAACTCGCCAACGTCCTCGACTTTCAGCACGTAGCAGCACGAGGCGACAATGTCAAAGCAGATCAGGCCAACACGCTCTAATATGCCGGACTCCTATAAGTTCTGCTGCCTTGCTATTAATAATCTGGCTCAGTCCAACGAGAGATAGCAGTGCAGATTCTCCTTCAAATACTTGTGCCGTGGTGCCGACTCTGTCGTGTGTGCCCGTAGCGTTTGGAGCAGTCTTTCTTCCATTATCCGTGGCGAATCCTTCACGTCTTCATCAGCACCTGATTCCAATGGTCCACGATGCTTTTCTAGGCTCACATCCTTCAGTTTTCTTTGCTCTTGGAAAGGGTGCAAGAGCCTCTTGCACGCAGCTTTTGCACGTCTTTGAAGTCGTCCAACCTCAAGCTGTGACGTCTACCATGATACCACCGAGTCAGCTCATCTTGTCAACACTATTGACTCAACAGTAGATACAACGAAATCGGCTTACCACCAGCTCTCGTTGTGGCGGTCGAGAACGGAGCATATCACGAAACTTGGCGTTTTCTCTTTCAATTTCTTGAATTAAGCGCTTCTGTTGCGTTGCAAAATGGCGCTAAGCTCTGCATCATCTTCCCATACTCTTTTCTTTATGATTATCGATAGTTAAATCGTTCGGATTTCTTTCTGGTAATTCTTTTTGCTGTGTAATCTTGCAACGTCGAGTTCATTGACTTTGTTTCATGCGTGAAATGCAGCTTCAGCTAGCTCGAAACTATCAAACATCTGCACCGGGATTGGGTAAATTTCGAAGGCCTCAGACGAGTTTGTGCTCGTTAAGATTTTCGTAGGTGTCGTTGCTGCAAAGCTGGACATCTTCAAGAATGAATTGAATTCGTTGGCATCGGCATTGATGTAACGACCGTGCGTGCGAATTGGCTGCTGTCATACTTATTGTAAAGCTCAGCTAAAAAAAACTTTGCGATCTATTTTTTTTATAAAAAGTAGGGGTTATCACGGCTGGAAGTATGTTTGAGTGGCCAATCAAATCAAATCTTCGCGTCCCGTTTTTTTTTCAACTAAAACCTTCCTTGAAAAAGTGGAAGGTTGCAAACCACTAGCGAAGGTTAGCTATGATTGGTGGAAAACATGCCAGAAGGTATGATTTGGCTGGTTTTGAATACGCGGTAATTCCAGCTTCACTTTCTGCACGGTTTTAGCCCTGGATATAGGATTGACTTGATTGGCTGACCAAACATACTTACTTTCCAACCGTGGTTACCCCTAGTATTGGCATTGCGTTTTTTAACTAATTTTCAAAAACATCTAAAATTGTTTTTTTTTTACTTTAGTGTGTGTTATTTTAATTTTGGGTCTTTTGCACAGTGTATCTGGACAGGATGGCATATTCCCAGTTTTTGCCCATTTTGGCTGCTGGGAATTAAGACTCAATTCCATTCCCACTCAAATTGTGTGGGAATCGAACTTTTTTGTACCGGTACCTTTGTAGGTCATAAAAGCCGCTAGCCAGACTGAATCGGTGAGTACCTATTCGCCCAGTAGTTTCCACTTTGGTAACAAATTAAAAAAAAACGCCGTCGACAACCACTCTGAGGCTTTATAAAAAAACAATTATTGGTAAATGGGAGAAACGATGCTCAAGCTCATAGTTCTCCCATTTACCGGTAATAGTTTTAACCCCTCCAAACCGGGAGCTGGAAGGAACATGTAAACTGCATATGCAGCGTAATTAAAATTAATATTTGTATATAAACGTGGTTATGACTGCTAGGATTCAGGATGTGCAGTTGCAAATGCGTGCTAATGTATCATATAAACTGCATATAGCGAGCTGATTAGACTTGCCATACCGCATTATGCTACGTAATTTAGATAGTGACGGGGCGCCCTCGGAACAAAACCAGCACATTGCCGTTGATATTTTTCAGATATTTAGAGTGTAATACCTCCCATACAAAACCATATATGAGAAGTTGGGATGTCACCCCTAAATGCTCTTGCAAACCTTTGACTTGTCCGGTTGTATTCTATGCACTATACAAAAATGTAGTGAGTCGATCAGTCGACAAATCATCTGGTGTTGTAATCCATTGACACGCTAAATACTTGTACAAAAGCGGCCCACTACGATGCAGACAACATGCAAGGTGTATCATGTACTCGGCACGACGCGCGCAACTTCAAGACACAATGCAGAAAGGTATTCAAGTACCACAATTTTTAGCTCGCTACCCTGCATATATGCAGCAATATAGACAGCCTAATGCGCAGCTTAAGGCTTACGGGCTGGTGCGACGTCTCTTGCTTAAATCCGGAGTACCAGGCGTCGAAGGAGTGCCTGAACCAGTCTTCTTTCGACGCACTCGAATAGACTTGCCTTTGCTTACCGGGATCAGCTTGCCATTTACCCACTCCTTGTGCCAGATGTCCCAGCAGGTCATGGCGGCCCCACGTACATTCCGTCGAGCTCGCATGCAGAAGAAAATTGGCCCCGCCTTGTTGTAGTCCTTGCAGAAGTACGTCGTGGTGGATGCGCGCTTGCTTTCAGGTCGTAGAACGGAGCATACTTTACACACGCGCTGGCGACGTTTGGCCTGCGTACCTTCGTTCCGCCATTCATCACTTTGGAGAGCCATGTGCTCGATTGACTGGGAGATGCCGATAGGAAGCAGGTCATAGCTTGGTAAAGAAGCAGGAAGCTGCGTGCCGAATGTGTTCCCTTCATACATGTCCGTAGGTTGGAGCTGGCTAAGCTGGAGGTGAAGTTTAATCATGTATTTGACGTGTGTGAGCGGGCGCGACTCTTTGTTCTTGTGGTAGGCTTTGTGTATGATATAGCCGTTAACGATTGCCATGTCAATCAACCCCAGCACTAGCGACTTATAATACTTCTTGAAACGGAGTGCACGCTGCGGCGAGTAGCGCTGCAGCCGCAACTGGTCGTGGACATCCACGCCACTCATGAATGCGTGGTAGTCCTTCACGACTCGAGGGCAGGGCACCTCAACTTGCTCAGCTCTATCTTGCCGCACCACCCTATCGATTTCAGGGCTGCCACCAGTACACAGGAAATGTACCGGTCTTGAGTCCCACCAACTAATTGCCTTCATACTCGGAACGAGCTTTGAGCGCGCGATTTTAAACGACCCCCGTGGAATTGTCGCTGGACGGGTTTTCTTTTTCTCAATCACTTTCTTACAGTAACCAAGACGATTCGACATGATAGTACCAACGCAATAGAAACCCATAAGCAGAAGCTGTATAGCCAATGCCACAGACGTGTAGAAACGGTCAATCACCACGAGCCTCATCCCTTGCTTTTTGGCGTCAGGACCAAACACTTCCAGCAAGTTACGCACTACTGCTGCTGGACCCGACTTCATATCCGGCTTATGAGCATCGCTGAGATGCTGTTTCTTGCCACAATAGACTTCAAAACCGTCGATATGCATCATAAAAAAAATATTCAGTACAAGATGCATAATTCAGGTTAAAAAGTCTTTACAGCAAAAAAAAAACTTACCGAATGCAGTAAGCCGTAACCGCACTGCATCATAAAGAAAACCAGCGCCAACGGGGAATCTAAATGACGAAGAGCCTCAGCAGATGGCCCAGAGTATCCTTGTCTGAGTCCTGGGTAATTGCCGGTGTCGCTCACAGGTTGGTACGGAGCCATCAAATGCTCGTAGATGTCAGGCTCCTTCACGTCTTCCCACCCAGACACTGACATTTCCTTCAGTACTTCCTTTTTCAGATTTCCAGCAAGTACTTCATCTTCACCACCAAATGTTTCCAAAAATTGCTCTCCAAATAGAACTTCTGCGGCAATCTCTGCGTCAGTTTCGTCTGGATCATCACTTACATCATCAGGAGCCACCATTCCATCCACATCTCCATCTGAGTCATATTCTCCAGTCTCAACATCGTCCTTTTCGGCTTCGTCCCCGGACTCAATAGCTCCATATGTAACATTGGCCTCGCTATCCTTCACCACATTCAAGTCGTTCGTGGTATCGGCTAGCAACTCATTTCCCCGGGCAGCCATCTCTGCATTTTCGCAATCATCATCTACGACAAGAAAAAATCAATACAGCTTAGCTTTCAGCTCAATATGCACTTTGGTATGCATCAGAATAGGCAAGACAATAGGCAGCTGAACATGCAGTACAATATGCAGCATATAGATGTCCAATATGCAGTACATTATGCACCACACAATACAACATACCTTGCTCCGGTTCGCTAGGAAAGTACGCTGATTTGACAGACTCATTGTCGGGAAAAATGTGTGTCGTCATAAGGCGATGTTGTGTCCGAGTCTTGTACATGAGGTGACGTTACTATTAGCGGCTGAACAATAGCTCGTATCGATCGAGGTGGCGTAATAGCCATTGGACTTGCACTGCAAACAAGAGACCGCCTTGCTGGACGCTTACCTTTTGGTTTGCGAATAGTTGGAGTAGGCGGTGGTGGAGTTGTTGGAGTAGGAGCTTCATCAGTACACACCGTCGTTGTAGCAGGAGCTTGAGTTGTTGCAGTATCAGCTTGGGTTGTTGCAACATCAGCTTGAATTGCTGCAGCACGTGTTTGGGTTACTGCAGGAGATTGCATTGCTGGTAAGGGGGCTGCAGTAGATTGAGCTCGAGCTTCCGCGCCCAGGATATCAGCAGCGTACGTTTGGCGTACGACTTCAGCAGGTGCCGCCAGTTGGGCATCTCCAGGTGCCATATGCGGAGTAGCACTCGGTAGAGGAGCATGAGAGCGCAGCACTGTAGTCATTCAACATAATTAGTTTACATCAAAATGATTAATAGAAGCAGTACATACCGTTAGCGTAGTATTCAAGCACAGCCTCCTCGCCTCGAAAAAAATGGACACCTTCAGTCCCAGTTGTGCTTTCACCAGGCCGAATGTAGAAATAACGGCCGTCTAAACTGCGTCGCGGGGGTGGCTTGCGCGTCCACCCATCTTTTTTCAGCTCCTTCCACACCGATTTAAACGTAAGTGGCGTCCAGTGACTTCAAAGTCACGCAGCACCCTGCCAGCGGCTCTCACCATTTTCTCTGGGTCGACTTGCGCTCTGGGTCCGCAAATATTCAAATGAGAGAGATTTTGAAAAGGCGGGGCTACGGTCTCTGATAACCACTCGTGCACCGGCATCCTGCCCGTTGTCTCTGCAAAGTGATGCAAATCAGTTGCAGTTTCCCAAAACCTCTCAAATTGCATTCTACAAATTTTGATAAATGGCGGTTACTCCCCGCGGTGGAAAAAGAAACGCGTGAACAGAAACGCCACAATATTGACTTGCGGTTTGTATTCCGATGTGTCGGGGGAAAGGGCGCCAATACAAACTCTAAGATTAAATTTGCTTAAACTGCATATATTCAGTTTAAGCCTTCAAATCTAAACTGCATTATGCAGCATCCGGTTTGGAGGGGTTAACCCCTTAGTTCCTTTATGTTGGATCTTCCAACATAAGAAGTGTATACCCTAATTCACTTCTGTTGCACCTTTTATTTTATGTTGGAGGTCCAACATAAGCAAATCTTATACCTGAATTTTGTATGGGGCAACGGTCCATATCCCCCCTTTCCCCGCTATAGTGAAATGAAGTCATTGATATGAGTGTAAAACGGTCACATGCACAGGTTTAGGTTTAGTTTGGTTGAATGAGTTAGAAAAGGGAGATACACACTCACTATCGAGCGAGTGGCCACCAGCCACCAACCTCCTCACTCTTCAAAACGACGGCCGATAGCAACATGGTTGCGCCGACACCCAAGACACCGCGTCACCACCTCAACCGAGCAAGAAAGGCGCCTCTGTCACGAGGCTCTGCTAAGTGAGCGTCACGAGCGCCGCATTCGACGGACAGAGCAGAAGAGCGGCAGCGATGGAGCATGGCAGACGAAGGCGAAGAAGGCGACAAAGAAGAAGGCTGCCAAGCGCACAACGGCAGATATGGAGGTGGCGCAGTATAATGGTCTGTATATTCCTTCAGCAAGTGCTCAGGTTGCAGACACGGCGGGCGAAAAAGAGGGCTCGCGAAACCAGACGATTGCTGAAGCGAAGGAGACGATAGAGACAACCGCGATAGCGGATGCGATGGAGGTGGAAGCAGACCACGAGACGGAGGTGACGGAAGTCGTCGCGAACATGGTTTTGAGCGTTGAGACTGCGCTGCCTGCCCAACAGTCTGGTATCGCGCTAGCTACTACTGATTCCAGTGCTGAAAAACGAAAGCGTAGTACTCAAGTGCCGACAAGAGAGCATCGCCGCGCTCTCCTACAAGAAGACAGCGATGGCGACGATGACACGGTGCGTTTTGTTCGTTTATCCAACCTAGAAGGATTGTGGCTGACAACATGTCTAACATAATATCCAACGTACGTGATGTATGGTGAACAGAGAATGCAAGGTGACGAAGACGAGAGTGTTTACGAAGCAGACGTTGTGCACAGTGTACCTGCGTGTGTTATTGACACAGACCCCAACTTTATGGACGAAGGAGCTGACGAATGCACCGGGCTCAACTCCGACGAGGACCCAGAGCTTCGTGAGGAACCTGAAGACGAAGAGGATGCTGATGACGATAGTTGGGACGGTGACTGGGACATTGGAGAGCTGACAGATGAAGATTCGGACCACGACATCGAGGAGCTTCCAAACACGGCGTGGTTATCCGCAGCGAAGAGCGCACCACTGATCACTGCAATGCGTACCGATGGCTGGGAGTATGGTACGTTATGTTGGCCGAATCCAACATAATCCTTTCATTTTGTTTCTGAGTTAACATAAAGGCTAACATAGTTTTTGTCCTTGTGTGTTGTATCTAGACGCGACTAAATTTGGACCTGACCCAACGTATGCTGGGTTGTATGATGGGCCATACGGACCAAGTGACAGCGTGCTACGCCTTGGGGACGATCCGCTGGCATTGCTCTTCTTTTTCCTGCCGCCGAAGATTTGGTCCCAAATTGCTGTCGAAAGCAACCGTTATCATACTCAGTCAATCCCTAACGAGGGCCCGCTCAATTCGCAGACAGCAACAGCGTAGTGGTGGTGAAGCAGAAGATCTTGCTGAGATCAGACGGCGGTTGTCAGCAGTTGAAGAAATACAAACTTACGAGGTCCTTCAAGTTATGGCATTGCTGATTGCACGTATGTTGGTCCCCATCCGGAAAGGCATTGCAGCGCATTAATCAATGAAGAAAGTTGGAGTTCTACCGTCAAACCGCTTCAGTCTCGTGATGGGAAACCTTCGTTTTTTCATATCATGGGATATCTACACTTTTCGAGCAACAAATCGCCACAAGCCCGTACGGACCGAGCGTGGAAGATTCGACCGGTGCTCGATGTGCTACAGCGAACATTCGCTCGTGGATACAGAGCTCCCCCAGTCATCAGCTTCGATGAAGCAACACTGCCTTCGCGCTCGCGATACAATCCCATGAGGATCTTCAACAAGGACAAGCCCCACAAGTGGGGGACGAAGGTGTTTGTTGCTGCGTGTGCCAAGACCGCGTACTGCATGAGGTAACTTGAGGCAAGCTTCGGCTTGCCTTTTTTTGGCCCAAGTACTTATGTTGACTTGTCCAACATAAGAATCCTGCGCCATCTGTTGATACAACATAATATTAACATAATCGTCTCTGTTGATGTGTTTGCCTGCTAGAATTGAGATTTATTGCGGGGCGAAGCCACATCTACGTACTCCTGTTCCAAAGGATAACAACACTGGAGAAGCGGCTGTACTTCGAAACATGAAAGCTCTCTTATCTCCGTCACCGACGTATACATGGAGGTTAGTCGTCACCGACCGTTTCTACACGTCGGTCAAGCTGGCGCTGGAGCTGCTTTATTATCGGATGTATCTAACGGGGACGATACAGACGGATAGATCAGGTTACGCTGCTGGAGTGATCACTACGAAAAAAAAAAAAAGGTGAACAGGCGCAAGGTACTGGTGCCTCCGCAAGGTACCATCAAGCTGGCTCAAAACAAGATGTTTCCGCAACTAACTGCTGCCATGTGGATGGACCGTAACCCGGTGCACCTGCTCTCAAGTGGGGGCAGCCGCCAAACCGGCACCGTGAGTACGTACTACATGCATTGGGTTCCCATTTGGGTGTTAGCACTAATTGTATTTGTATTCTAGTGAGATGCATCCACGGAAAAATGACGCCGGTGCCGGCTCCAGAGCTTGTTCGCGACTACCACCGCTGGATGGGTGGAGTCGACGTCCATGATCAACTCCGGTTGCAACGTTACAGCGTGCAACTTTGCAACAAAACACGCAAGTACTACAAGACTCTGTTTCTGGGGCTTCTGGATATGGCGCTCGTGAACGCGTTTATCGTTCATCGACACTATCGAAAGGTAAACAACAGGCGCCCGCCCAAACACTTCTCGTTTTTTGAGGAATTGATGGAGCAGCTACTGGCAGTAGATTCAATCGAAGCGTTTGACGAGATTGAGGTAAGTCAAATGGTGACCAGTCAACATAACCTCATCTGCTTCAGCAGCCTTCCAACATAACAACTAACTTATGGTGGGCTTGACTGTATTGGAACAGCAAGCGACATCTGCGCAAAATAGAACTGCCCCTTCGCCGGCAAGAGCAGATTCAACACAGCTACAAGGAAGCGCATCGTCAGCTATCGACGGACATTGTTTAGAAGAAAACCCAGATACTGTCGATTGCGAGCAGGGTGTGAAGCGACGCCACCGATCATGCAAAGTCTGTGCCATCTACAAGGTCAAGCCTCGCAAGTTTACGAAATACTTCTGCCCGGAGTGCTCGAACGCGAACAAACGGTGTGTAGCTCGCTTGGTACCCTTACCGTAAGCTTTGGCTAACTCGTTTTGATTTAGTAAATACCTATGCAACGTTCCGCGTGAAGGCAGGGTCAGTACGTGCTTCAGCATTTGGCATGCTGATTGGAACAACGGTAACGACATCCCGCGCGACCTACTGCAAGAGCACAGGACACGTGGACGACCGCCTGCGTCGCGGCCAGGCAAGAAGCGGAGACGCAGACAGCAGGTAGGCGAGAGCGGAGCAAGTGCTGGTGCTGGTGCTGGGGAGTCGAGCGAAGAAGATGATGAAGCGGTGGAGGAGGAGGCGTAGTGGTTGCGCCGTCTGGTCGTACATGTCTATGCAAGGAGCAATCAATTGATACGGCACTTGATCTTTCTTGTTATTGGCTATAATAAATGAACTCACCGCTGCTGGACGTATGCAACAGCACAAAGATAGGCTAATCAATAAACAGTACATATCTTATGTTTATTTATACAGCATAGTTGTACACTCAATGTACTACATAAACCCTCCTTTATGTTGGAGAATCCGTACTATACACACTGGCAAGTCGTTGTTACTACCCCGAACCCGCGCCAAGATATCCGGACTTAATTGAAACCCCATACAAATTCCTTTATATCTGTATATGGGACGAGGTCAAAATATACCCTCATATTTGAGGCCGGGAACTAAGGGGTTAAAATACTTCGCCGTACATGTATTCGCACGGCGAACAGGCCCGGTAGAGAAGTGGGGCTAGTCAGGTTTGGATACACTTTCGGTTGAAGCGCGTTAGTCTGCTGACTCAGCAGTGCTGAGCAGACTCTGCTCCCCGCCTCCCGCGCAGCAGCCGCCTGTCGACTCCATCCAATTAAAAAGAACGCTTTGGGTCTCAGATCTCATTTCTCCTTTATCCTTCCAGTGGCTCAAACCCAAACGGAAAAATGCAGGTTGGTCGACTCGCTGACGACGACTTTCATCGATTTCGTGGGGCCCACACGGCCATCGCTCCTGTGGCTTCCTACCAGGCTCTCACGAGGGCGAATACTAAGATGGTGCCTGCAGACGAGATCCGCCTTAATGTGTTCCAGTGCTGCAGGTTGTGCGGGCTCCCTGTGCGCCAGACTACAGCCAAGACGGCCAGCACTCTGTGCCAAGGCTGCGTTCGCAGCGAGCTGCGCCGTAAGAGCAGCTTGGAAGACAGCCGGCTTCCTTCTCCGATGAATGGCAAGTCTAATTTCGCGACTGACCGTCTCGTGCATCCATCCTGGACGGTGCAGAGCGCTCCGGAGGCTACTTGCCAATACCAGACGAACTCGACGTTCCACGTTGAGGCGGACACGGATTCCTTCCGCAACATTGAAGTGCTGACATGCTTCCGATCAGAAGTGCGCCGCGGACTGCGACTACTGTCAAAGGTGGCGACTGCCGAGGAGTGGCACATGTGTTGGGCGATCCTTGTGTCGATGTGTCTGGTACCGTTATTTTTGTTGCTCATTGTGATGGCTGGTATGGGTTTCCTCGTGCTGTCCACGGGGGCGGCCATCGCCGCCGCTGTTGTGTACCCGCTGGCGTACATCAACCCGAGACTGTTCAGATTCGCCATGAACTCGTAGAGTGAACGATAGATACTCTGTCGACAGGAACCCGCAGCTTGGAGATATAAAGGCCCGTGGTTTCTCTTGACGTTTTCTAAATTTACTCTTACTCCATACTTCTATCTCTCCGGACGTGGAATCTTATAAGATTATATGTATTCCACCATCCCCCACAAAGCAAACAGAATAGGAGACTGCACCACAAGCTCCAGCTTTTGAAGACCGAGGACAGCAGTTTAGCTGCATTTTTTTAAATCCTTACGTTGGTTCGTTGGACTTCAACTACTTAAAAACGAAGTACCAGCCTCAGAAAGCACATGTATTCTTGTTGTCGAATGCAGCATTTCGCCAGTGCTCGCCATTATTCATTACGAAAGCCAACCATCCCCAATTTATGTTCTCGACTCAAAAATACAGAGGTGCGTTTACGCCGTACAGTAACAATTGTTTTCACGTTAGCATTCTCCACGAGCTCTTCGGATTTGCTCGCTAAATAAATACAAATAGCTACATTGGCAGAGAACTTCTGAGTGTCTTCACTCCACAAAATCTGACCGAGCGCAACGCAACCAAAGCGCGAAGACCCATCCATTCACCTGCACGAAGGTCCAGACAGCCACGACGGACCCGCAGCAAAAATTCACGTCAACACCGACGAACGGTATTAAAATTCTTAGCAGGCTTCGACTAAGATCCAGCACCGTGATTCACGGCGTGAAATCCTTAAGCCACATGTAATATCTGTTTCCTATGGGCAGCCTCGTCCAACAAGAATAGCTCGCGTGAGGATCGCTGGGTTTCTTGCTTTGCGCGCTTGGTGTCTACAAGACGCTGTGAATAATTAAACGTTCTGCTAAAAAATCTTCTTCTCCGCTTTAGTGCAATCGTCTTACATACCCGAATAGTTGGAGTCAGTTGATCGACACGTGAAACTTGGAGTAGCTTCGTGTTTGCCAGTAAAACTTCGTGTACTTTAGAGCCTGGTGGCTTCATTTGTTCACGGCGAGCATCCAACTCGACGAGTACATCCTTCACATGAGAAACTATCTGCAAGGCCAGCATTTTCATTAGGATAACATCCTCCTCATTCAATCTTAACGAAGATACTGATATAACTACCATTTCCAAAGCTTCGTGACAGGAAGTATCTGCTGCCCGGGTAGCGTAAAAAGCATCCTGCAAACAAAACCATCAGCCGAAAGGGCATGGAGTTGCTTGGAAAAAATAGCACTCTTACTTTATCAAACTGTTTCAGGAGCTTCTCGATTCGCTTGACGAATTCTTGGTAGGTGGTCGACACTTGAGAGAGCTGACGTGCCTTTTCCACGCAGCTCGGTAACTCGCCAACGTCCTCGACTTTCAGCACGTAGCAGAACGAGGCGACAATGTCAAAGCAGATCCGGCCAACACGCTCTAATATGCCGGACTCCCATAAGTTCTGCTGCCTTGCTAATCTGACTCAGTCCAACGAGATATAGCAGTGCAGATTCTCCTTCAAATACTTGTGCCGTGTTGCCGACTCTGTCGTGTGTGCCCGTAGCGTTTGGAGCAGTCTTTCTTCCATTATCCGTGGCGAATCCTTCACGTCTTCATCAGCACCTGATTCCAATGGCCCACGATGCTTTTCTATATTCACATCCTTCAGTTTTCTTCTCTCTTGGCAAGAGCGCAAGAGCCTCTTGCACGCAGCTTTTGCACATGACTTTGAAGTCGTTCAACCTCAAGCTGTGACGTCTACCATGGTACCACCGAGTCAGTTCGTCTTGTCAACATTGTAGACTCAACAGTAGATACAATATAAGAAGCCGGCTTACCACCAGCTCTCGTTGTGTCGGTCGAGAACGGAGCATATCACGAAACTTGGCGTTTTCTCTTTCAATTTCTTGAATTAAGCGCTTCTGCTGCGTTAAAAACGGCGCCAAGCTCTGCATCGTCTTCTCCACACCCTCTTCTTTATGATTATCGATACCTTGGCTGCCGCGGCTTCATTCTGCACTAGTTGATTGATCTTGCGGCCCCACGCATCGTGCTCCGTCCTGGATTCGTTAACGTTCTTGTCCCATGCATAAGATCTCGATTATACGTGCATTTTTTTGTTTAAATAGGAGAAGTGGAAGCCCCTTCTTGCCTAAAATATCGCTGGCTTCCACACCCTTCTGCTTCTCCCGAGCCATGCAGACGCAGCGCGTAGATGGCGTATCGCTTCACGTCATTGCGTGCCGTCTGTTGCCGCACAGTGCAAAACATTGAAGATGGCTGCAACTTGTCGCGGAGAGCATTTTCACCGGTACCTTGAGCTCAGACGCAGATGGCAGCTCTGTCTCCAAGTTCAGCTGAAAAACTATATTTTGCAGTAGGAGCATATACGATTCATCCGGATAGCGTATCCGGAACTAGCTATTACAGGCAAGTTGAAGCTCACCATTTAAACCAATCGACAGGCAGCGTGAAGATCCCGTCTTGACCCAATCCGTACGTGCGGCTGACGCAAATGCTGCGGTCTTGTGTGTACGTGTCGAGGAAGCGCGCCAATTCCTGTGGAATGGAGGCCCTGGAACTCTGCGGAGTCATCCCGGCCACAGCTTTCAACAGCTCTTCGCAAGCCACAATGGCGTCTGCAACTGAAATCCCTTCATCACGCGTGATCTCTTTGACGTGCATGGCGTCCACACAGCGTGAGGAAATGTACGCGAAAGCCTCTAAATTGGCATTGTGCGCCTCTTGCTGGCGGTGGATCTGTGATCGATTTCTGGTTAGAAACGTGACTGCTTCCCCATACGAACTGGTGAAGGGCGCTCGCACTTCCCCAGTCTCCAAAATCCTCCAGTCGTATAATTCGTCTTCAATCACGAGTGCAAACTTTTCTAGTAGGCCTTGTTCGTCCTCGTACGCAGCGTCGCGTTGCCAAATGCTTTGCAAAAATGTCCGGTATCCGAGAGCCGAGCATGTATGCCCTCTTAGGATGGTTGCTTCTCCGAGAGCAGCGGTTGCATTAGTCTGCAATGACCTTAAACTCTCCCGTGCTGCCTTCATGAAAAGTACCATATTTACATCAATGCTCTCCAGAACTTGGACCCACTGCACAGGGACATCAGTTGGGTTGAACTCGATCCGGTATTCGTTGTTAAAGTCTACTCCAGACGGGCTGGCACTGCGTATGAACATTAGAATCTGGATGTGAGCTACCGTTCATTGTACTGGAGACGTTCTCTTACCTGATGTCAATCGTTGCACCGTGCAAGAAATCCTTTGGAGTGAAGATACCTTGCTTGTTAGCTCTTGTATACTTGCGTAGGGTTTGTAGAAGGATCATGGCCGTTGTGTTCAAGTGCATCGTTGACCATCCGCACGAGAATAACACGTCTTCAAGGCCCAATTCACGTTTGAGAGTTCCTCTTACTGATTGAATCGATTGCCAGGCAATGCGACGTCTCTGCTGGGTCTCATTTGTCTCGTCTTCCTTCATATACTCCAGTAGCTCTTTAAAAGTATGGATTGGTTTCCTCCTCCGTCTGGAAGCTGATGCTGCAGCTGCTCGATTCGCCTTGGCGTACATCCCGTCCATAGTAAACCCGCCGAAGTCCATGCTACTAGGGCGTTTCCATCCGCTTTCATGGCTGCGTCGCCAGTCGTCATGTCTCCGTTCTCCCCTGGGATCCTGCAGATGTCGCCATCTCTCCTACGCTCTGCTCTATCGTGACGCCACACTCTCTTAGCACCGAGATCATCTTGGCTTCAATATTGGAAGCCAGCTCCAAAGGAAACCGCTTCAGCTTTTTGACTTTCTCGCCATTTTCACTGGTACCAAGCGACGGTACCATAACGCTGAAGTAAACCTGCATTAGTCCAGCGAACGCAATAGATTCTGTCAGAAGATGCCCAAATTGTGTTAAAATGATGCAAAAGTCACCTTCTCCTTCGAAGCGCCTAGTCGTCTCCAGTTGATAGACCCCCCACCGCCTTGAGACGCATAATGCTCGTCCATAAACTGGTTCAGAAGCTTGACGGAATGCAAATTCTCATCGTGCACCTTAACGGACAGAGCAGTTTTGAGAATTCTGCGGCGGTCGACAGATTACAAACAGCGGAAACTTGCTAAGGGACTACGAGACGCACTTTAGGGATGTTGCGGAAGTGGTCGGGGTGTACGCGCAGCAGGAACTGCTTAAGCGTCGAGGAGCGCTTGGCCATGCTGACGACACGATACGCAAGGTTGCGCAACTAGTATTGTCTCGGATTGAGTATGTCTCAGCTTCAAGTGTCGCCAAATGACAGCTGCAATATGGAGTGGCGCGGTGTGTCGGGGTGTGGACCTCCGGAACACTTGCCTTCCGGAACGCATAGTCAGTCAGAAACGCAACTCATTAAAACATACAGTATCTTCCTTTCAAAATAAAAATCTCAAACTACATAGCCGCTTAAGTACGCTTCAGAAATAAAGTTCTCAAGGCAAGAGGTAAACGTACGATCCACAATTGCTCTCAGAGCCGTCAGTCTCGAATTCCAGCGGTGGTGTTGATACAGCGCGTGTTCATACGAGGAAGATGCTAGCGACCGTGCGTTCCATTCAGAAGCCCGTGGTAAACACGGGGCTGCGCGCCTTCAGCGTGCCGGCCTACAACCCAGACCTTAAGTCTCAGGCGACCAAGCCCAAGGTGCGTTGGGGGAGGAGCACGTCACACGGCGTCTCTTATGGTTTTTCGGTGGGGTGGACTGACGTTTGCTGCTGCTGCTACTGCTCGAGTAGAACATCAAGTACTTTAAGATCTACCGCTGGGACCCCGAGTCCAAGGAAAAGCCGTACCAGTGCACGTACCCTGTGGACTTGGACGAGTACGTAGCGCTGAGTGGGAGCGTCTTGGGAGGAAGGAATAACTAACGCCGTCTGTATTGTTCTGTAGCTGCGGCCCTATGGTGCTGGATGCTCTGATTAAGATCAAGAACGAACAGGACCCGACGCTCACGTTCCGCCGGTGCGACAAGAGAAAAAACGCAACCAAGAGAGAAACAAATGTGGACTGACATTGTGACTGAGTATTTACTTGTCTACAGCTCTTGTCGTGAGGGTATTTGCGGCTCGTGTGCTATGAATATTGACGGTGGTAACACGCTGGCGTGTCTGAGCCCCATCAAGAAGAACAAGGACGTGAGTAGCATCCACCCGCTTCCGCACATGTTCGTCATCCGCGACCTGGTGCCGGACATGAACAACTTCTACGACCAGTACACGTCCATCAAGCCGTGGCTGCACTCGGACAAGCCTCGTAATGTCAACCACGAGCACCTGCAGTCCATCGAGGATCGTAAGAAACTCGACGGCATGTACGAGTGCATCCTCTGCGCGTGCTGCAGCACCTCGTGCCCCAGCTACTGGTGGAACCCCGACAAGTACCTTGGCCCTGCTGGTACGTCGCCTGTCGCCTCTACTATTGTCGATTGACTTGGTTTTAACGCTTTCATTACAGTGCTGATGCAGGCGTTCCGCTGGATTGAGGACTCGCGTGACGACAAGACGGAGGAGCGTCTACGTGCGCTCGACGACTCGTTCAAGCTGTACAAGTGCCACACTATCATGAACTGCACTCGCACATGTCCGAAGGGCCTGAACCCGGCTCAGGCCATCGGCAAGATCAAGACCCGACTCGCCAGTCTGCACTAAGCTTGTGCGTAAGGGTGCATTCAAGTGACGGGAGCGTGGGGCGTCTTAGATACCACCGCGGCCTACCGATCGCAGTGTTGGCCACGATGGCACTTGGAAGGCAAAAATTGAAAGAAAAAAATAAAACTCATACACAAAGCGAATGTGATCATCAGCAGTGCTGAATCAGCAGTTCGAAGCACGTAGCTGAACGAGTGACGCGCCGATGCTGTACAGCGACTTTCACGCTCCAGCGTCTCTGTTTATTAATGTGACAGCTGTGTTCGTCAAAGTAACACACCGGCCCTGTACTGTCCCAATAGAAGTACAGATACCGGTTAGCTGTATCGGAAAAGCATGTTCATGTTTGTTCATTGCCGTGCCAGCGCTCGCTCCACTTAACGCTGCCAAAATCATGTCTAATTGTCCTCTCCCAACACTGAGCACTTCACTGACACTGAGAGGTAAAAAAGAAACTAAAAAGGAAAATAAAACAATGTAGCGGAAAGCGGTAGCCGTCCATCGCTGTCCTGACGCGAGCTGAAGGCGCCAGCTAGTCGTCCTCGCGGAATTGATCGTACATTACTGCTACAGTGGGCCGCTCCCATCATACTGTCGCACTCACACGTTGGTTAACGTAGCCTGGACCGTGTCGGATCTTCATCAGCGTCGTCTTGGTGCACGTCTTTAGGAAATTGACAGTCTTCTTCACCCCCATGGTGGATGTGTTGCGTTCATTGATCTCGATGATCACGTCGCCCACGCAAATATGCCGCAGCAATTCGCAGCATGGCTCCTGACACACGTCGGTAACTAGAGGGTATGTACCCTTGGCGAAGCGCACTTCCTTGAGCTGCAAGCCAATACTGCGGTTCTCTTTCCACTTGATTAGATACGTTGTACTGTCAGGAGTGTCCGCCATCGTGAACTTGGGTTTCGGTCGGCCACGTACTTGGACGGTCGTGTTTACAGCGTTCGGCGCGACTAGCGGCACCGTCAGTGCCTCCTCTTCACCAAGTATCGGTAGCTTGATGACACCACGAGAAGTCTTGCCCTTCTTCTTATACTTGGCCAAGTTGGCGTTCAGAGACGACTTGCTTGGCCTCGGCGGGTTGACGTCCACTTTGTCCTTCGGAGCTTCCTGCATCATAATGTCGCCGTCCACGATATCCATGTCATTGGAAATATCATGGTCACTTGTGAACTCATCGGAGGACTCAGGAGTGTCAGTAAAGTCAACCTTGGAGGGTTCTACGATACCTTCCATCAATGAGCTTTCAGTGGTAGAAGAAGGCTGGCTGTCAGGATGATGTGTCTTCGATTCTGGTTCAAGATCCCATGGGTTCTGGTCGCTCTCTGCTGTACTGCTCTCCACAACGTCAGACTCGCTCTCTTCGACAGCAATGCCCACCTCCATATCGTCAGCAAGCAAGCCGACTTCGACATCGTCCTCTGAGTTAACCACAGCACGCGATGAAATAACCGGCTCTGGTTCTTCGACTTCAGCCAGTTCAGCCTCTTCAGCCAGCTCTGCTTCGGCAAGTTCGGCCTCTTCAACCAGATCCACTTCCTCCGCCTCCTCCAGTTCCACTGCTTCAGCCAGCTCAGCTTCTCCAGCCATCACAATATGATCCAGATGGGACTCGGAGCTGGGTGAAACAGGGACGCCCACGTCAATATCGTCGTCTTCATCAACTACAAATGGCTCCGCCTCAATCGTCGGCGACGGAATTTGTTCAGGCAGATCCCACGGCTCAGTCGGAGACAGATGCGTCGTCTTGCTGACTGGAGACAATACCGGCTCCTCAACCTTCACAGGGATCGTCGTTGCTATTGGCTGCTGGCGTTGCTCCTCGCTACTGTTCCGACTCCGTCGACCGTGAAATTTCTCAAAAATGCTGCGACTTTGATTCAATGCCGACGATGCCGCTTCTTCCTCTACTGAAGAATGGACCGTAACATCGTCGTCGTCTCGTACAACAGGTGATGGAGGTGGAATGCTCACTTCGTTAGCGATCTCAGTTGCAACGAACGGGGACACGGGTGACGTTAGCGGCGAGCTGCTCACCTTGGGCGAGCTTCCAATATGTGGCGAAGAAGCTGGCGAATGGTCAAACTTGTCAACTCGCGGTGAGCTACGCACCATGGGAGGCATACTGGCCTTCGGTGAAACTTCGTAGTTGGTACTCGAGGCACTTTCTGCCGTCTTGCGCGGTATTACCGGGGAGATCGGAGGAGGTGTTCGCATGTTGGCTCGGTCCGCATGGTAGTCACCACGATTCTCAGCAAAGTCCAGCCGGACTTGGGGCGACGGTGGACGGGGAGGTGGAGTGGATGCACGCTTTACCGTTGGACTGGGCGTGCGATTGCGGTGAGGTGTTCTACCCTCAGCCGGTATGGCTGATGCTGTGTCCACCGTGACAGACGGCGTCCGGTTCCGTGACACCGCTTCCTGCTGCTCACGCAACTCCTTCTCACGTTGTTGCTGTTCGCGAAGCTCCTTCTCACGCTGTTGCTGCTCACGTAGTTCCTTCTCACGCTGTTGCTGTTCGCGAAGCTGCTGCTCATGTAGTTGTTTCTCACGTTCTTGCTGTTCACGAAGCTGTTTCTCGCGTTCTTGCTCACGAATTTTGAGCAATTCCCGCTTCTGTTCCTGTTCCCGCATATCCTGTTGGCGTTGCTGAAGCTGTTGCTGCAGCTGTTGCTGCTGTTGCCTCTGCTGCTGTTGCTGCTCTCCTTGCTTTACAATAACGACTTGTTCATGAGGCTGTCTTCGTCTAAACACCAGCCTCACGGGCTTGTTCATCTGCTGCAGACGACCAAAGAACGCCTCAAACGTGTAGTCGGCTGACTTGATGCCATTGGCTGATACGAGCGTGTCGTTGACAGCAACAGCGCGTCGCACCACAGGGTTTGCACTCGGCGTAGAGCGCGTCACGACCGGTAAGTTCGTCGCTCGGTCCTCTGCAAAGAACAGACCCAACGAGCCTGTTTCCCAGTTTACCTGGTACTCATGAGGCCCCAGAGGCGAGTGGGAAGAGTGTTCCCTCGTCCCGTTAGCAGCTACAGCGTCTCGTGGCGATACCTGGTGGTCTCTATTGGTTGGAGCGCGTCGATGAGCCTGTGACGCGCCCATTCGGTCATTCCCCCCGTTCACCCCACTGGGTCCAACCGATTGCGCAGGGTTTCCTGGCCCCACCGAGTCCTTAGCCGACGGAGCCCGCCAGAACGCTCCTCTCGTGGCTTTAGGCGGTTTCTGGTCCTTCTGCGGCACGGAGTTGGCTCTCTGGAACTTGCCCGCGGGGTCTCCTTCGTCCGGATTGGGTACATTCTGTCTGGCATAATGACTGGCACTGTTGACGGCGGTCGTGGAGCTGGTACGATGCACACCAAAGAGCTGCGAGGCCTCGTCCTCATCTGACGACGGAGTGCTGGCTGTAATGCGCTCGAAACGCAGTAGTACGGGCTTCTTCATGGTGGCCAGAATCTTGAAAAAGTCCGAGAACGAGTGGTCTCTTGAGCGCACCACGTTCACGTACTTGAGGATGTCTCCCTGGCTCACAGCGGGGGAGATACACGACTCGGTGGCCTTCGACACGTACGGGATGCCGTCTTTCTCCGACTCGAGGAAGATCACGCCCAATACGCCGCGTTCCCATAGCACTTCGTACTCGTTCTCGCCCAGAGGCGGCATTTTGTCGCGGATTTTGTCAGCCCACGTGGCACGGCGCATGATGCCGCTAGCCCCCGCGCTGTTCATGCCGGGGGAAGAGCTGCTGGGCCCGTGCGATGCCGCTGAATTGCTTGACTTACTGGAGAACAGCGGACCCCCGCGAAAGTTCTTACGCGACATCTTCTTCATGGCCGACGTCGCGAGCGTCTTCGTCGTCGCCCAGTCGTCGTCCCGCTGTGCCCTCCTCGCGCAGTGCCCGGTCAGGCTGGGAGTCCCTCACGCTACCTCGTACGCGGCGCGTTCTTGCTCTTGCTCTGACTGTCTTGGCGACGACCCGACGGCGCACTAAGTACGATCTCGTCCACACGGGAGAAGAGCAACTCGCTGGCCTGTCTGCGGCCGAGGACTGCTCTAAAGTTACGTGGCCGAAGCGATTAGGGGCGAACAGACCAGCAGCGCAGAGTGTTGAGGAGCAGGAATGCCTGGAGAGAAGCGAGTGCGGAGCTCAGTTCCTTAACTGGTTGTCTTGCCGCGCGCGTTGTTGCTGAGGAAGAGGGTGATGAGAATTTTGTCTTGATGTTTGTAAGGAAATGCAAAGCCACCAATCAGGAACTGGCTTTGCAACTGATGCAACTTTTAAGTGATACACTTTCGGTAATGGCCAGTGTATCGCTTTACATTCGACAACGTTGCTGCGTCTCATGACGATCATGTGCATCGACTAATGTAGCTTTAGGCAGAGAGAGCTTTGAATACGAAGACTCGTATTGCCGAGAATGTATCACAGCGACGCCTGTAGGGCCGAGAGAATAAGCATACTGGTCTGCGTCCCTTCATCTCCACCGACCACTTCAATTTGCCGCTTGGACTATCGCTGCTGTCTGAACGCTGGAAGATCTGCTGTACAGCTTTGTGGACGTGGCATTTATTTTTCTTTTGTGCTGGACATCCAGTCCGAACTGTAGAGCTAAAACTGCAACGTTGTGCACCCCCGAAGTGACGGAACCGCCGCACCACCCATGAGCTCAACGCTAACAAGGTGCCAGTTACTAAAACGCTCGAGGCCGCGCAACGCAAAACCCGTCGACGTCCGGAAACTATGGACCTTCGGGCGCCGCTGTCGTGGCTGCTGCTATTGATGATGCCCCTCGTGCGCATGTCAGTAGCGGAGAACTTCGCCGGGATGACGATCTCAGCGCGAATGAAACAGCTCATCGACACGGGCATCGAGGCGCCAAAACTGAAACTCAATGCAACACTCCCCCTTGATGTACAGTATCGACTGAACGAGAAAGATCTGGCGTGGCAAGACTTGGGTGGAACCCAGCAGCGACTCGTGCTCTGGGATCAGGGCTACGTCGTCACAAGCAGCAACAAGACTCGCCAGATCTTGGTGCGCTGTGACCTCGGAATGGACGACGTAGTGGTGTCACGTCAAGAATTCGAGAGTCTGCGGAATTGTCCGTCTACTTTGTGTACGGACCCCATGAGCTCTGAAGCTGTGTTGCGTGGAACAACTTGTGCTGTCAGTGAGATCGAATCGGTAGCCAAGTGTGCTGTGCTCGTGTCGGAAAGCGAGGCGAATGCGGCGTCAGTGGACGTGGAAACGAGTTTGATCTGGGCTGAAGAAGTAGCCAACACGGATGTCCCGATGCCGACTGTATATCGTCACTCCTTAAAGACCTTCGTCATTACAATGCAAACTCCTACAATCGGTAAGAGCTGCCCCCATCAGCTTGCGCTGACCATCCCATGTGTGACTGTGCAGTCCTCGGATGATAGCAGCAAATGGTGCGCACCACGCAAATCCGGAGTAGTGTCGAGTTTACTTCAGGAGCTTGTCGATCTTCGACAATCTCACTCAAGTGACACGGAGTCTTCAGGAATGATGATCGCAATCTCGGCAGGAGTGCTCATTCTACTACTTTGCGTAATTGGATTCATGTTCATTCGCCATCTACTTCAGAAACGCAAGCAGACAAGCGGTAGTCAAGAACTCATCGAGAAGTCGATTTTGGATCATTACGCACTCACTTCTGGAGGCGGCTTCTTCGTGGGAACCCATGAAAGCAACGATGCTACCGACTCGATATCGTCTGAGCTCTCTGGCTTTGAGACTGATCTAGAAATGGATATCTGCAAGAGATTTTCGAATACGTCGGGACGGTCAGAGGTTGATTACTCCGACGTCCTCAGTGCGTCGAAGGTGTTGATGATGTTCCAGAATGACCCTCTCGTCCATGCATTACGTGTGCCTATCATTGATGTCAATGGTGACAAGATGATATCACGTGGCAGGGAAGGATCTCCGAATGAAGTTCTAGTTGGGACTCTTGGACCTCGGGAAGTTGTTCTCAAGCGCTTGCGGGCTTTTAAACGTAACGATACGCGTGCAGTGGAACGTCTGGCTCGTGAGATTCGCATGCTGGCGATGCTAGAGCATCCAAACATCGTGAACATCGTGGGTGTTGCGTGGAATTCGTTCCAAAACCTCGTGGCAATATGCGAAAACCACCGAAGTGGTGACTTGCGACGTGCACTGCGCAGTGGAGAGAAGGCGCAACATTGGACGTGGACCCGACAAAAGCTACAGATTGCTATGGGTGTACTACGCGGCTTGTCGTTCCTTCATGCACATTCGCCACCGATTATCCATGGCGCTATCGAGCCACGTCATATCCTGTTGAACTCGACTACAGGAGAACCGGCGCTTTGTGGGCTTGGACAGAGCGCTAACCGAGTTTCGAGTGCGAATGAGACCAAATACAGGACAATTGGAGATGGCGGTATTTGGAGCAGTCCAGAAGTGCAAGGAGTACGCTTGTTCTCGGAGAAAGCAGATGTCTATTCGTTCGGCGTGGTGTTGGTGGCACTTGATACCGGCAAGCTATTGATCGATGTCACTAGAGACGATCTGCTCGAGTTGTTGACACCTGTATGTCCTGAATTTATCCTCAAAATGGCACACGCTTGTCTTCATAGTGATCCTGCTGCACGTCCGACATCTCAAGAATTACTGCAACAGTTAGAAGACATTTCTGGAACGAGCAGTTCCTGGACTTCTCATGAATACCCCAAATATGCGAAAAGCAGACTACATGTAGTAGATCAAAATGACCGACCACACTTCTACCTGTAGTACGTTCAAAGCGACGTACAGTGCCTTGCCAAGCTATCTTAACGAAGTACTTCAAAGTATATTACAGCCGCAAGAAATAACTTAACAGCAAACAACAACTGTGACCTGTAGCAAACTAAATACAAGTAATAAAATTAAGCGTAGCGATAAAACTGCCAGGTATCAAACGATTTTTTTTCAGTGAAATTCTCTACAAGTCCGAAAAGAACTGCTCATTAGCAGTCGGGAATGCTCTACGACCGCCAGAGGCGTCTCCCATGTCCGACCCATCGCTGTCGCTGTCACTATCTGCGTTCTGCATCTCAGTGTCCATTGGCAATCCGGCCGGAGCCTTCTCTTCATTTTCGTCCGCATCGTCCTCTCCGTCATCCTCCTCAAACAGATAACCCACATCCCAGAAGTGCACCTTGTTCGTGTGCGAAACGCTGCCAATAATCTTCTTGTCGTGAGAGAACTTGAGGTTTTCCACAGGGAGATCTTCGTGGTCTCCGATAAGTCCAAGCAGCTTGTTCGGGTGTAGCTGTACCACACTGAATATCGCACAAGAACGATGTTAACGTCGAGTCTTTAAACGCACAACCGCCTACAAACGCACCGAACAATGCCGTCACTTGATCCCGTGAGAACAGTGTCTTCGTCCACCTTGAGCAAAGCCTCGACAGAGTCTGGGTGGCCGGGGAAGCGGTCCGACATGTCTCCCCACGTACCCCAGCTGAAAATCACCAGTACACCGTCCTGCGAGCCACATACAATCTTTCTGCCGTTCTTGATGACTGCCACCGAGAGCAGTTCATCGTCCAGCTCGTCACTCTTGCCTACCAGTACGTTCTTGCGCAGATCGTAGGCCGACAAGCGTCCATCGCCACTAGTTGCCAGCAAATGATCCTGTGCTGGGTTCGTCGCAAAGCCAGAAATGTAGTCCTGCCAGCAAGAAATTATCTGTCGTTAAATAATGTCGTGGCAATAATAACGTACGCAACGCACGTTGTGCTCCTTGAACTCGGCTAGACAGCGGTGCTGCCGTGTGTCCCAAATCTTGATCATTCCCTGGTCGTCACCGCTTGCGAATATGTTTGCCGACAGCTCATGTAGGCGGTTTACGGGGTGACTAATGGCCAGAACAGCGCATTAGTCCAAGCGAAGGAGCGAGAGATTCTCCAGCTACTGATATTCTTACTCGTGCGCTCGCATCTCGGCCCACGTGGGGTTTCCCAGCGTGTCGAAGGCGCGAATCGATTTGTCAGCCGACGCTGTGTAGAGAGCTGTAGATAAAAGCACCATGTCAGCACCTCTTCAACCTAAGCGACCTAAAATTCCAGCTAATGTCTACGCACTTTGTCCATCAGGGGCGAATAGCAGCGCTCTCACAGCCTCTTGGTGGTTCTTCAGCTCCAGAACCTTCGTATTCGCCTCCTCTGAGTACTTGTACCTGCACACACAGCATCAAAACGTCAGCATCTCCAGTCAACAGACACTTGATTTGCCTTCTGCTGCTCTTACACTTGGACGATGCCGTCAATGCAGCCAACAGCGACAATGTCCGCCTGCGGGTGGAAGTCAATGTCGAATACTTGGCTGTCGCAGTAGATCTCATCGGGCGTGTGGTCGTCCAGGTCTCCCATGGTGCTCAAGTCTCGGACGCACCCTAAGCGCTTTTGACTGGCTGAAGCGATTCACAATATTTTACAAAATTTGTGGCAAACAATGGACCAATTAATGAAGCAAAAACGAAACAGTGGAGCGCAAAAAATGCGTTAAATATAAAAAAGAAGTGTTGCTGCTACTGGATGCGTCCCGGAGTTCTTCTATAGGTAGTCGGAGAATACCAAGTGCTCATCAAAGTGCGACACCACTGGGTTCCTCTGGTTGGCCAGCTCACGCGAAATCGACTCGAACTTGGCCTTAATGCGCTGCTTGGGCACATCGAAGCGCTTCCGGTTGCGAGCGATCTTAGCACGATTCACTTCCACGATGATACTCTGCGGCAAGCTCGGCAGGGCGGAAGAAGTCGGTGACGGCACAACGGTATCGTCCAGCTTGCCCTCTGTGATCACCATACTACCAGAGCGCCCGTTGCGCACCAACCAATCAATTTCTGGCGCGGGAATCTTGTGCAACGCCTTGCGACCCGATGCCTTCTCTTTCAAAGTATCCATGAGAACAGTCACGTTCACACGGAACTCACGCAACAGCAACTCGGGGGCTGGGACGTACTTGGAGCGGTTGTCGCGCTTCAAGTTCGAGTGGCCACCTTTGCCAATCACCTTGACTAGTTTATCCAGCTGTTCCATGCCTGCATCACCCAGATCAACACGGTTGCGGTGGTGACGACGTTGCAGACGTTCCTTGGCGCTGAGCTTGACAGCCTCGACATAATCCTCACTGAAAAAGTCAAACAAGACGTTAGCTGTCTGCTTGGGGTTGCCCACCGCGAACGACTCGACGACAGCAGCCGATTGCTTTGTGCAGGGACGCAGATACTTCTCCAACTGGGCGCGCAGTTCGCGTTCGTTGTAAAGCTGACCTGGCGCAATAGTTGCTGTTACACGCCGCTTCAAGACCGCCGACACGGGGCCAGCGTTTCCTACGACACTCGCAACGACGCTGAACCTGCCAGACGCGACTTTCCTGTCCCGCGCGGTTGTACTACGCACGCTCTCCAAGACGATCTTCCCTCCGAAAAGACTGGCCAGCGACGTCTGCCAAAGTAGACGCTGCAGTCTGGTGACGTTGTAGCTGTCCAATATGGTTCGTGCGTGGAAGAACCAGTAGTCCCGTGAAGGAGATCCGACATTCCTGGCCTCCTCCAGTGCGCTGGGTGACCGGCTGCTGTCGTTCTTCTCGTCCTGCGCTCTCCGCCATGCGTAGAAGCTGCGCCACTTTTCAGACGAGAAATCAAAGCTCTGCGCAAACTTGGAGACTGTGCGGAAGGCGTAACCGCTGATAGATACACGACCGGCGTAGAAGAGCTTGGCCATATCGGAACTGGTGGCTTTGCCCGAGTAGATCCATAGAAAATCGTCCATGGAGATTGTCACCTCGCACGTGGGACGCACATCGCCAGCGCTCGCATTCTTACGCGTAGCCACTTGACGCGTATCGTTTATCTCCACAGCGTACGTGGTCTTGGGCTCAGCGTCGCCCGCGTCCTTAAATTTAAACAAGATCGTGCCGCCGAAGCTCGTGCTGGACTTGACGCTAAATTTGAGGAACTCCATGACCTCGTCGATCTCGCGCTCCTTCTGAGGCTCCACCGTCGCTGGATCTGCGAGGGCTACAGCGCGCAACGCTTCGTCTACGACGCACTCCTGATCGCTGATCGCCGTCGCCATGCTGGATCGCGCGGCCTGCCGTATCGGGGAATGAATGCAAGGATCACCTGAGGCCAACGAGGGCTAAGCAACAATTTATTAGGTCCACCCAGCATTTTACCTCGTCCTAGGGATAGGGTACAGGATTCGATTGGCTTACGAATAAGTTTTTTTAACTGCAACATTGCTGCTTCCGAAGGTGGAGTTCATTGTTCTGCTCCTGTCTTACCAGCTATTTAACATGCTAGCTCCTTCCAGTGCACGTCGAAAGATATAACTGTAGGGAGTATTTAATCAGTAATGTAGACGATCAAACACGGAGATTCAAGTACAGTAAGTGCGAATAAACGCTTTAGCATCCGGAAATCTGATAGCTTGATTCAGTTTCTACGCGAGCGCGTCACATTGGTTCAGTCAAAAGTCTGTGGAAATTCCAGGTTGAGGTATCCCACTGTGATACCTACCGGTAGACTTATCCCACGGGTCTAAAGGATAAGTACATTTAAAACAAATTTTATGTAAATTGTACCATCACTTCAGCTTAAAAAAACCGTTTCCAGTAGTACTAGTCGTCGCCACGGGACTCCGAGTCCTCGAGTCCCACGAGGTGACGCCTAGTACTACTGGGACACGCTTGAAACGGCTAGTCTCGGTCTCGTATTATATCCTAAACTATCAATGCTAGCATCTACTAACTACCTACTACAGTACAGTAGCCCAGTACTGAGTAACTAATAAATAATACTGTAAAACCTACAATTGTGCCCCCAGGGGGCACAATTCTGGGTTTTACAGTATTATTTCCCAGGGGCACAATTACCGTATTCCTTATGTGATTGGCGACAGTCAAATTCTTGAGGTGGTCCAGCCTTTCTGCCAGCATAAAAGATACCTGCATAGAAAAACTATTTTACATGCTCAAAATTATATTGGTCGCCAAGCACATAAAGCGCGACGACACGAAATTTAAATCAATTTGATTGGCTGCTGGATTTGTCGCTAATGACCGAGCGTCGCCAATCACATAAGGAATACGGTATAGGTTTTACAGTATTATTTATTAAAATAGACTCGGCGTCGCTAGGTCTATTTTGAATATTCAATCACACAAATTTCCTGCGGCCCAGATCGTACTTAAGTCACGGTGTATCGTACTTAAATGGGCGTTTGGAAATTTTATGTAGTGCTCACAACACCAAATTTACGCTATTGCGCGTGAGTTCCATCGATGAACCGCGCTGAGTAGAGCTCAGAAAACAAGATGCTGTTGATGTCCTATATGCAGCCACACCTAATTCAGAAGTATTTAAAAAAGTCAAGTTTATATTTTATGGCGGCTAAGGTCTATTCTCAAACGGAATAGCTATCACTGATTGACTAACGGGCTAGATAAGGACAGTCTAAGAATCACCAATCAGACCTCTTCTGGCGTCAGTTATCGAAATCATAGAAGTCAAGGACAGATTTACTTCAACCTGGTCTTGTCACTTTAAGCGCGATAGCTCCAATAACAATCTTTTATTTTCTTGATCCACACTGTACACGCTCGGGCTCCCGCCAGCCAAAGTTACTGTACTATGGGGCTGACGATTAGGAGGTTTGCTCTGTTATTTTGCCGAGTGTCGTCTTGGTGGTGGCTACATCCAAGAAACATGAGATAATTAGAATAATGCATGTTAAACAGTATTAAATAATGAGTCTTGCCGGATCCGAGCGATTAATTTTTTTTGGTGTATCGCGATCTTGCGCTAGATCCCTAGCAATCTGCTCGCAGAGCACTCCTGCTGGGATGTTGCGGACGTGTATATCTTGGTTAGCTGGTAGTTACCACCATATTCGCTGTATAGCTGGGACAAGTAGAGCAGCTTTTTATCGGATCGTACAAACAGTATTGCAGGCAAAAATGGGTGTCCTAGTCTGGAGCTCGTATTTTCTGTCATCAAGGACGATATGGAGGCTACGGCGGCTGGATTTCGCTCTCTGAGTACAGTTAGTGCAATACCGGGCTGCATCGGTGCTGTCGGTGTGTAACAAACTGGCCTCTTGTCGGAGGGAGAGGAGTACGAAGAGAGTCTTGGTGCTGGCGGGGAGAAAGCAAAGTGTGCTGGTCTCCCCGACCAACTGCCCTCAACCAAACAGTTGGTTGAGAGAGTCCCTGTATTATTTAATATCAATCTCTTAAGTGATATCTCTCTCTCTCGATACTATTGGTTATTCGATACACTCACCCCTCCAGCATTTGAAGTGCTCGTCATACTTGTTTCGCCAAGTGCGGTTGAGTCCGTCGTCGGTCTTGACGTATCCGTTGCTCGTCCTCGCTTCTTACCATTTCGATCTACGCATTTAGTCTCCACTACCGCAGCTTCTCACCTGCCTTAGACTCTCCCCAGTTAGCAACTTACCTCAGTCGACGCTCGCCACTGCCGCTGTGTCCGCCGCCCTGTTGTGTTAGTGTCCTTGGCTGCGCAACTACTCGCTCCCTCGAGAGCCTGCCATGGCACGAACCAATCAGAATGCGTCTCGGTCAACTGGTGGGCAAAAACCGCGCGCGTCCCTCAGCCGCCAAGCTCAACGGAACCTGTCTTCAGCTCGAAGTGCCGCGACATCGCCCGCTGGCACGTCTGGACTATTTCTGATCGTCTTGGCGCGCAGGTAGCTCGAGACTCTCGCTATTATGTTGAGTACATCATTTCTGCAGGGAAAACCGAGGGTTCTTGGGAGCCCCGTTGGCTCCTTGAGGAAGATGGCTTCACTGAGTATCTTGAGCTCGTCGATCAGTTCAAAGCTACCGGCGGTCCCCTGACCTTCGCTGAGTTCTCTCTCTCGCGGCCGGACGACTTCGCACAGGCTATGGGAGCCTCCCGCGATGGCCGTTGCGCCTTCCGCGCTCTGGATTTTGCTGCCGACGCCATTGGGATCTCCGACTGGTACTCAATAGCTGCTGTCGGTGCGTTGTACTGTGTGCGTGCTGCGACTGACAAGCCAACCACATCTGCTGGGGTGGTGTGGTCCACACTGTGGTCTTTCATTCGGAATTCCAACCGCGCCGCTCGTGCTGCTGATCGCGCTGAGATCTGTGAGGATACGATTGGTGTTAATCAGGTCCAGTTTCGTCTCGAAGGCGTTCAAGCTTGCGTCGGTCTGGATTTTCTGCTGCTGGCGCCTGGCGTGTATCTGTGCGCCGGTGTTCTCCCAGGTCCTCAGCGTAAGTCGCACGCGCTCATGCTTCAGGTGACGAAGCACGGTCGCTTCGTTTCCGACGAAAGCCTCGTGCAGATGCCGCTGTTGGAATGCGCCTTTTCGTGGCTGGCGAAAGTGCGATTCGTCCGACGCGTCCTGATTCACTAAAATACCGATCTAGGGAGAAGTAGGCTAACTTGATAATAGCATGGCTCCTTTTCAGCTTGACGTTTTTAAACGTGAACTTGCGCCTGGAACTTGCGCCTGGAACTTGAAGTTTGTATACCTTGCACGTTTAACTGGATCTTGAACATAATCTTGAAATGTGATCGCTAATCTTTATTCTTGAGTTGCTGTCGTGTTCGTCGACCTACTATTTCGTCCTCGGAAATTTGACGTCGTCTTCTTCTTGAACTTTTAGGCGTCTTGGCTTCGTACGCTTGAATCAACCCAGTCACTTGGTGTAAGTTCTCGAGCGGTTCCCACGTCGTCTTCCTCTCACCCACCCACCGAATGAGGTACTGTACGTTCCCCTTGCGCTGACGCTTGTTGATAACTGCTTCGACGATCTGTCCCACCTGGCCATCGTGTAATATTACCTCGTGAGGTCGCAAGAGACGCGTCGGAGACTCGTACGGCTTAAGTGAGCCGGTGTTGAAGACTGGATGTAGCTTGAGTCCGGGCGGCAAGTTGATCTCGTATTCGTGTCGATGTACCTTGCGCACGACGAAATACGGTCCAATCCACTTGGGTCCAAGCGTGCGTGAGTTGGGAAACCCCGTGTGCGCTGTGTCCAGATTCTTCGTGCTTAGGTACACTTGGTCACCAACGCTGAAGTCTTGATCTTTGCGTCCGCGGTCGTACACGTCGGCCATACGGGCTTGCGCGTCCTCGAGGGTCTCCTGACACTGGCGAAGTACGGCTGCTTGATGTTCCGTAAACTGAACGCCTTGGCGTCGCCCCTCGCGCAATCCTCGCCGACTTGACTCAGCAATAGCAGATAGTGGGTTGTGCGGGACGTATCCAATGTCGGCCTCGAATGGTGACATCTTGGTGCTTGAGCTGACCGCTAAGTTGATGGCAAGCTCTGCGTTCGCAAGATGTACATCCCAGTCATCTTGTCGTGGAGATACAAAGCAGCGGAGGTACTCTTCAAGATTTCGGTTCGTCCTCTCCGTTTGACCATCACCTTGAGCCCGGTACGCTACCGTCATCTTGAGCTTGGTTCCCACATTGTCGAAGACTTGACTCCAAAATCCAGAGACAAACTTGGTATCTCGGTCTGACACGATATCACGTGGCATACCGTGAAGCCTCCAGATGTTGTCGATGAATAACGTCGCGACCTCTTGCGCGGAAACTGTCTTCGTCGTTGCGATGAAATGGGAACGCTTGGTTAGGCGATCCACGACAACCCAAATCGAGTTCTTCCCGGTTTTTGTGTCTGGTAAGTCCGTGATAAAATCCATCAAAATCGAACGCCATCGTTCTTCTGGAATCTGTAGAGGTTCCAATCGCCCAGGGGCTTCGTCAATCGAGGTTTGTTCCGTCTGCAATCTTCACAGTCCGTGATGTACTTCTTGATCGTACGAACCATTCGCGGCCAATATCAGTCAGCACGTAGCTTCCAATATGTGCGATCGGTTCCGGAATGCCCACCGTAGTTTGAATCGTGTACTTCGGAGATGACGCGATTCTTTAGAGCCACCACGTTTGGAATGACAATCCGTGGCTTCTCATCCGTTGTTCCTTGGTACCAGATCAGGTTCTTTTCTTCAAAGAACGTCTTGTATTGCTTCTCAGCCGTACCATGAGAGTTTGCTGTCGTACCACGCTTCTTGATCGCGCGTCG